CCACTTTTCGTGTGTTTTTTTAATTCTTTGGTTGCTTTTAAGCACAAATTATTAATTATTTTTAACGTATTTTATTTTTTTTTATTTTTTATTTCTATTTCTATTTTGTTTTTTTTTTTTACAACAGGTGCTCAACCTGTTATCTTTATAAATAGTCTTTATTTTCTTTTATTTCTCACCTACAACTTTTTACGGTTAAACGGTATAAACTTTTTTCATCCATTCCCATCTTTTCTTTCTTGTCCTTTAAGTGTCGTTCTAACCTTTTTGTAAAGAAAGACTTTTATTTTTTAAAGAACAAATTTTATATATTTATATATATATATAATAATAATTCTTGTATAATCTTTTTATTATTACATCTTTATTATTATTATTATTACTATTATTGGTCCTTCTTTAAACCTTTTAAATTTTGAACTTTTTTAAATGATCATGGCGTCAACGATTCTTGCTGATATTGTTGACCCCCTTAATCCAGTTAATGTTCATATCCCTCTTTCGTTGTTTGATATTTCTTCTACGCATCCTGAGGCATCCTCTCAATGTTCTTTAAAATCCTCTTTATTACAGGATCAAGAAGAATTTCTCTCGTATTCCCAACCTCGCTTTTTTAATTCCGATGATAGTGACTCGAACCTTGATGATGATGATGATATTGACGATATTGTAGATGATGTTGATTATTACTCGACTGACTCTGAAGATGACTGTGATATGGATGTAGATTATATGTATGCTCCTTTTGGTCGTCCTCCTTCAAGGTTAGGCCGTCATTCCGACTCCATGGGTTCTGGTTCGAGAAAATCAAGAAGAAAATCTTCTGCTACTTCGTTAACTCGATTAAAAGTTGATAATTCTTTCCTAAAAAATCAAAATATTAAACTTTTATTAGAACTCGAACATTCTAGATTAACTATTCAAGCTTTAAAAAATATTGTTAATCAAAAAGAGTCTACTTTACAAAGTTATCGTAATGAAAATCAAAAGGCTATACTAAAAATTAGAGTTTTAGAGGCTTTGATATTTAGTAAACATGCCAAGGACGGAAGTATAATCGTTAGGAGTAGTGGCGGTGGCAGTGTAAACGAAAACGGGTTATCCACCAATGATAAGAAACTTGATATTAAGGTTGATAAGGTTGATAATGTTGATAAGGTTTTAAACGATGATACTATTCATACAAATCTTACAAATCTTGTTGATAATTCTCTTCAACCGGCTTCTTATCAAGATAAATTATCTATCAAAAAATCTAAAGAAAAATTACCTAAAAAGGATTCTTCGCCGAAATCCACTAAAAATTCTTCTCCCCCACCTCGTTCTAATAATAATTCCCCTCCTCAATCTACTAAAAATCCTCAATCTATTCAATCTATTAAAAATTCCTCTCCTTCTCCTCAACAATCTTCTCAATCCTCTTCAATATTCCGTCCTCAATCTATTTTATCTTCTATACTTCCTTCTCAATCTAATGATTCTTCAAAAAAAATTAAGCATCAAAGACGTTGGTCTATGGATTTTGGTCCACGTAGTCATTTGAGTCCCGATGATGAGATTACAAATATACCTAATGATAATAATGATAATAATGATAATAATGATAATAATGATAATGGTGATATAGCTTTATCTTCTTCTCCACATTCCTCACGTCGTCTCCATTCTGTATCTCCAACTTCTTCATCTACCGTTTATGCTGATAGTACAGCAAATGATCCAAAATCTCGTGGTATGCCACGTTTAATCAAATTTAAAACTGGGGATATAATTCAAACTTTAGCATCATGTCGTCCTGCTAGTACCAAAAATGGTTATGATTTTTCACCACCAAGTACTCCAATTCCATTTGATAAGAATGAATTAAGTGATGGTGATAATAATGATGAGGAATCAGATGTGGATGAGATTTGTGAGAATACAGATGGAAATAGTATTGAAGAAAAAAGACAAAGAAAATTGGGACAAGGATTACTAAGTAAAATATTTTCTTCAACATCCTTTCCATCTTCGATATCAATGACACCGGCAGCTCGCGGTTCATTAAGCCGTTGACATTTTTCATTAGTCATTTGATCATCTTTGTATATTCATTTTTAGACGTCTCATTCATAACATCTAAAATTAGACTTGATGAAACCATCCTATTCTCCATAAAAAATTAGTCATTTAGATAGTTTTCATATCCATTTTTGTTATACTACTTTTTTTGTAAATACTTTCACGAATGTTACACTCCGTGTACATTAAACCTAAAACGGTGGGCCGGAACGATTAAGGAGCAGAGATGACGTAATCGTGGTGAATCCACACTCCCATATATACAAACCATTCATAACCTAATTTAGTAAGAGTTTTTTTTTTACGACCGCGAAATTAATGACATTTACATTAATAGAGAGAAAGAGAGAGAGAATCCTTTTACATCATCCCTTATCATCCTTAGCCTCTAAGCGATCACCATCAATTTATGTATATATGATGATATCTTCCCTCTAACTCAAAAAAGATTTGTAGACATACAAAAAAAAAAAAAAACGAACATTTATATACTCATAATTATGTATCACAACTTTATAATAGGATTAATAGGATTTGGTTACCTTAAAAAAAACTTTTTTTTAATAGCTGATAGGAATATAGGAATTCCTTTTTTAAAAAAAAATTTAGGACTCTTTTTTTAAAAAAAATTTAGGACTCTTTTTTTAATATGGGTTTCTTGAAATTTTTTTGAACATTATTGTATTGAACATTTTTTGAAACTTTTTTTTTTAATGGTTGTGTGATTTTTTAATTAATAGTTTGTTAATGGTTGTGATGAAAAAAAAAAAAGAAAATACTGGTACACTATAGTGTAGTTATTTTTCTAGGATATAAAATTTCAACTGTGTATATATGTAGATATTTTCTTTCTGTTTTTCCTATATAGTTTTTTTTTTTGACCCTCTTTTTTTTTTTTGGTTTTATTACATGCTAGGTTAATTCAAAATTAGGTTTAATGTAACAAGCATTTTACCTTACAAGGATTATCCGTATATGGAAGTGAGGTTGTTTTTATAAAAAATATATATATTTATACATATATATAACAAAAAAAAAAAAAGGAAGAAAAAAAAAAACTTACGACTTAATAATGGTAGTTATGATTGATGTTAATAAATTAAACGAGTACACGGGTACTCTTTTTGCAATATTAAATTAAAAAAGTTAAAGATTTGCTGTTATTGAATTTTGAATTTTTATGATTAAATTTCTACCTTCGGTAGTTTCGATAGCTTCGATAACTTCGATAGCTTCGACAGCTTCGATACTTCGATAGCTTCGATAGCTTCGACAGCTTCGATACTTCGATAGCTTCGATACTTCGACAACTTCGATAGCTTCGATAGCTGCTATCTCCGATTCTAATAAAAGACACATGTTACAACAGTGATTGGTTCGAAAAGTTTTGGTTTACTGAAATAGCACATGGTCGTACTATCCGTACTATTACGTACAGTACGTACAGTATTAATCCACTCTTTCGTAAGTTTTTTAGCACATAATACATAGCACAACTGTTTTAAATAATACGTATGTAGGTAACATGATATTTAGATCTTCTCGGGTGTAATTTACACGATTACACGATTTTTTTTTTTTTTTTTTGTTCTACAAATCTGTCTTTAAGAAAATTACGAGCAATTATTATTATTATTTTTTATTTGTAAACTTGAAACATGTGGCGTCATTTTAAGTTGAACATTTTTTTTTTTCACTAATCATTTCTTGGTTTGGAATATATTACTTTTGCATGGACCAGACTTTCGTCATCTCGTGGGATTTTTTTTACTCTTAAAATAGCGATAGTGAGTATATAGAGTATATATAGATGATAAATTGCGTTACCCTCGTGCTAAGACATTTTGGAATCATAACGCATAAATAAGAAGGGTATATGTAAGTAGGTTTGATAAAATTTTAATAAATCGAAATCAAATATATAGGTAGTAAATTTGTAATCGTATCACGTTCAGTTTATAGTACCAAATTGAGTGAATGGAAAAAAGATGTTTTGTATATTTATGCACAGAAATGTATATGCGTGTTATGGTACATACATACAGTTACAATATACCAAGTACGTACGTACGTACGTACATAGATGATTTTTTCTTCTTTTTAAAAAAAAAAAGAAAAAAAAAGAGTATGCATACATTTTATTTATTTGCATTCACATGAATATTAAATGAAAATACATGATTTCGAATTTCGAATTAAGACTTTAGGTTAGGTTATTAAGGTTAGATCCTTTTAAACTAGATTCTAAATTAGATCGCCTTATATTACTTTATTGAGATTTTTCAAAGCTTTTTTTTTTTTTTTTTTTTTTCTGTAAAGTGTTTCAAGAAGTTTTAAGAAGTAGATGCAATTGATAATTTTCCCATTGAAAATCCAATGTAATAATGATTCAAGAATGGCTCAATAGTGGTTCAATAATGATTCGAAAAATGGTTCAAGAATGAATTTTAAATGAATTAATTAATTTCAATTATTTCAATTATTTCAATTAGTTCTACAGTATCTATATAGATTAAAAAAAATTTAATGGAATGGGAAAATCCTATTGTTAATAATAATAATACCTTTATGATTAATTAAGAAAATGTCTATTGTCTCGCATTTTACCAACACTACTAAGAGATCTATTGTTTTTTTCATATGAACCTAAAATGAACTTCTATTGTCTCAATATATATTAAGAGCGACGCGCATCAGACTCGTTACGTAAAATACTCGAATATTTTTGAGAAAAAAACAGGATTTTAGGTTTGTGTTGCTACTTACTAATGTAAATAATGGAATATGTTAGGAATGTGGCTTATGTGTATCGTGAGAACTAGATTACACGACCTAAACGCAGCCGTATGCTTAGGTAACACTAATAACTCACGGTATCACGTACGGTTCGGTGTATGCTAGTCAACAAGTAAAAAATATATATATTATATATCGATATACGTATGTACTGTATATGACAATATTATATAGATAATATATATATATATACGTATTAAAATAAAAAAAACGTGTCCAAATTAGTTGATATGATTTCTTGTCATCACAAGTTATATATCATAATTGATCTAATCCTATAATGATTAATCTATGTTTCAATTTTTTTTAATGTACGTACGTACTTAGGTGACAATTTGATCTTGTTGGGCATTGTCAAGTCAACAATCTCATATTGTCAAGTCAAAAAGTCTCACATTGTCAAGTCAACAAGTTTTAATTGTCAAATCACAATTCTCAAATTGTCAAATCACAATTTCTCACAGTTTCACATTGACAAGTTAACAAATCTCACATTATCAAGGTCAAGTCAACAAGTCTCACATTATCAAATTATCAATTCTCACATTGCGTCTCATTTCGTTTATTACATAAATAAAAATCTTAACAATTGACACCGTTTTCAGGTCTGCAATTTTATGTCATACCTTTTATGGATTTAATAATTTACATTTCAAGCATATTAAAAATCTTCAAAGATCATAATTTCCACTAATCAAGCATGTCCTTTGATTTTTTCCCTATTTAGTTTAAATTTTTTTTATAACCGTACAATGCACATATGTATCAATATGAAATGAATATGTATATCATTTCAAATTATAAAAATATATTTTTTCAGCCCGATTGTTCGGAAATTTCTTAACTTGGTTTAATATCAAAGGATTTTGATCAGTTTGTAAGTTTGTAAAAGTGAATTGAAAATTTGTTATTGTTAAATATCAACAACATTGACGTTGTTTAAAACAAAAAAAATCCCTTGTAATATTTTTTTTTTGTCAGCAGCATTATCGTACCTTATCATTAATTCAGGCTAAAAGTTCAAACAATGAGCATTGAAAAGAATAAACATTAATGCTAAGCCGAAACTATTCCTATTTTGAAAAGTCACGAGATTTTTCTACTTTATATAGGCAGATATATATATAAACAAAGAATTCAAATGTTTAATTTTTGACCAATTAAAGTTTATTTCTTTCGTGTAAATTTATTAATGCGTGTCTCATTTGTGCTCTTATTTCAGTTCGTGTTCCTTTGTAGCTTATGTAATGGAAACGTTTCTCGGCACAGTGCCGCAGCAATACCAAATCTGATATTCGGAGTTGGTCGTCGGAGTTTTCTACGTAATCAATAATTTGTATCATAAAAATAATAAATGCAAGAAAAGGAAAATAATAAAAGTAACCAGAATAACTAAAGTTCTCGCAAAGACGTTGTATTTCCAATGTATTATTGTGTCATGCATACATAAGTACGTACGTACAGTGCGTACGTACGTACAGTGCGTACTTACGTACTTAAGTATGTATATACGTACTTAAGTGTACTTATCTACCATAAACTTTAAATCTTTGAATAGAATTGGTGTTAAAGATTTATTTTGCATAAACTTAGATGACAGACATTACAGAAGGGTCATGTAGGGTGCATAATCTGTCAATAAGGTACGTAAATAGGTACGGTTAGTACAACATTTACATGTCATTTTTTTCATCATGTATCTCATTATTCTGCACATTTTCACATTCATCCCATTCTTCTTCAAAAATTAATTTAATATGTACACAAAAGAACCTTACTTCGTTTTTAAAATCTTATTTTCTCGCATTATTTCATGAAAATGTATGGTAAGATGTTAGATCACTGCATCTGCATATTCGTTTATACGCATAAATTTAAGCATACGAATTATTTTCTTTGCTCTTGTTATCTTTCATCAGATTCTATACATGAAATTGTGTAAAGGTTTATTTGCACAAGAATGTTTACATGATCGGAACCAATCATTTTAATTATCATTTGCAAGCAAGTACGTGTATAATTTATATGAAGTGCATAGTTGAAAATTTTCGCAATCTTGGAAGTTTTGATTCCTTCTTTTAAAGCTTTGCCATCTAAATATAGTAATTCATCCCTTACTAGCTTGAACATTGGTCAAGTTGTAGTGACTGTGTCTGTGTGTTGTTATTTTAAACCATAATGTTACCTTTCTGTAAAAG